TACAAAATTTCACTTTGGATCTTGAGGATTCAGTTTCGGTGCTCAACACCAAAACATTGAGTCTTGTAGTGTTATTTTTTTTTTAAATCACAAAATTATTATTATAATAATAAATAAATATTATAAACTATTATTTCAATATTTAATAAATAAATTTAATTTGTTAAAATTTGACCTAAACGATGAGATAAAAATTTTGATATGAACAATTTATAATTGTAGTAAAAAATTTAGAATTGTAACTAAATATATTTTATAAAATATTTTTTTATTTTATTGATTTTGCATAATTGTTTATCTATGAGAGGTATTAATATTATCATTTAAGGCATGGTCAAGTATTGACTATAAGTACTTCTTTTTAACAGAAATTTAAAATTATTTTGTTACATTGTAAGAGACTAACTTATTTTGTTAAACTCAACTCCTATTCAAACTCTTCAAGTCATTTTTTTTTGTAATTTTTCAGCACAGTTTTAAACTATTCAGACCAAAATTTTTATCTGAGTTGTTTAGGTCAAATTTTAATAAGTTAAATTTATTTATTTATTAAATATTAAAATAATAATTTTATAATATTTATTATTATTATTATTATTATAATTTTGTGATTTAAAAAAAAAGAAAAAAAATAACACTGCAAAACGCAGTGTTTGGTGCTGAGCACCAACACCGAAACCAAATCCGGATCTTGACCTTGATTGATCTTAACCCAACCCAACTCTGTAATTTGCAGTGTTATTAGAACCGGATCGAACCGGCCGATCCAACCGGGAACCAGTCTCAAGTCCGGTTTGGTCATCACATAAAATCAAAAATTTCAAGAACCGGCATAACCAGCCACAAACCGATAAAACCGGGCAAGAACCGGTTGAACCGGTTATATTATTTTTTAATTTTTTAATTTTAATTTATATTTTAAAATTATAATTTATACATATTTATACCTAGTAAGCATTATGAAATAAAAAAAATGTATGAAATATATATAAATTATGTATATGTGTATATATTTTAAAGTTATAAATTATGAATTATAAAACACTTCTATATGTTTTGGATGAAAATAATGTAATATTGATGGACATTATATTTTTTATTATATATTATTTTGTTTAAAATTTAAATATTTATTTTTGTTACTATATAGAATTATTTTTTTTATTTTAAATATATAATATTTAAAATATATTAATTTATTTATAATTGATTGAATCACAGTTCAAACCACGTCTGATCATGAATCAGTATTTTAATTGATTCGATGATCGGTTTTTATAACATTGGTAATTTGTTCATTGATTGTCGAGAATGAAACGGAGCTTGAGTAGTGTTTGACTTTTTCATCTTTCCACAGCATCATTAGAGTGACATGCTTTGCATGAAATTTGAACAAGCCAGAATCCATATCTATAGCCTATTGTAAAAGCCGTCGGACAGGTACTGTATCGACTTTTTCTTTCTTCCTTTCTTTTTTACTAGTGGGCTGACTTTTTCGTTCTTTCTTCTTTTTTAAATTTGTTTTGGATGTACAGAACCCATCCTATTTTTTATTTTCATTTGCTATAGATGGGTTCTGTAGCACTGCATTTATACAGTGTTTATACTGTGTATCTACATTTTCATCTGACAATAATATATTGAAAAAATAAATAAATAAAAATTGAAAAAGCGAGGTACTACAGTACCTCACCGGTTCACTTCGTATGAAATTATTTTATTTTAAATTAAAATCTCTCAAATTATTTTTAAAAGTAATAAAAAATAAAAAAATAATATTATATTATTATTATTTTTATTTTAAGATTATATTTAAAATTTTACTTATTTTTATTTTTTATATTTTTATTATATATTAATATTGATGAGATTAATAAAAATAATTTATAAATAAAATAATTAGTAATATATTATAGATAAACATTGAAATATATATTCGCACCATTTGTTGCGTCGGCTTGCGAGGAAGCTTTGAAGAAGTTACCTTTGATGCTGAAGCATAGTATATACTTACTTGTATATTTTTTTCTCGTTTAAAAATATAAAATATTTTTAATAAAATTTTACCTCTTAATAAAATTATTATTTATTTTTAAATTAACTCATTCTTTTTATATTTATCTCTATTAAATACCTTACAATAAATATAAAATCATTATCAATAGAAGTAATTTTTTTTTAAAAAGATAATGATTACACTTCAAAAGAGTAAAAATGCCTTACATTTTTAAACATCCAACTCCTCAAAAAATACATTATATTTTTTAATGGAGGGAGTAGTCAATTTTTATTTTAATGTAGTTATATTTTTTATCTTATTTATAAATCATTTTTAATATATTTTATTGAAATAAAATTTTTTTAATTTAATTAATTTTATTTTAAAATTTAATAAATTTTTATCTTTATCATTTATAAAGACAAAAATAATTATTTTTAATAATTTTTTTTTGGAATTTAGTAAGGGCATAAAGGGAAAGATAAATATAAAAAATAGTAAAGTTTTCTATAAACAAAATTAAAATTAATCTTCTAGCTTTATATTATAAATAAGATTAGAGGAGTATTTGTTAATATGGACTAATTAATTGTTGCAACATTTAATTGCAATACAAGATTTTTGTAAAAAATCTGGAAATAATTTTAAAAATATAAATCAAACGTCACGTGATTAATAATTAATTTAATTTTGATTGAAAGTGAAAAAAAGAGAAATGACAAACGAGTACCATTTAAGTAGGAAAATGACGAAAGAAGATCACAAAATAGGATAATTATTTTAACGTAAAGTCCCTATAAAGTACAAACTTATCCGACATTAACTTTTTAAGAAAGAATTATAATAATGGGGAAAATTATAATGCAGGACCTTTAGGATATAACATTGATTATAGAGGATCTTAAAAATAGTAATTATTTAGAAAGATCAAATACAAAACTATAAATTTAAAAATACTAAATTGCCCCTAATTAAATTAAATCTCCTAAATTTTTTCCTAACCACATTTCACATGTTGTGTTTGACAATTGCTAACAAAAATATATTATCCAAGAGAAAGCCATTTCTTTTTTCTTTTTAATAACAATGAGATGAAAAACAACAAACTAAAACAAAGTTGCACGAATGCCCATAAACTTGTACTGAGTTCATGACCTCATCTCCTTGAAAATTTGTAAGTGCAGAAATTAGATAGGATAATCTTTGCAAAATGTAATAATTCGGTAAAATTTTTTAAATTATATTGATTTAATTTTTTAAAGTAAAGATTTTAAAAATATATTGATTTAAAAGTAAAAATTTTTAAATTATATTACTTTTATTAAATTTCATATTAACTTTTATATTTGTGTATGGAATAAAAAACTGCACAACCTTATTTTTAAAAGAGTGTTCTAATAAGGTCCTTCTCCCTAATTTTTCCATTATAATGCCTCCAAACCAACGTTGCTTGACAATTTTTTTTTTTTGGATACAAAAGGAGCAGCAAACTGGCTGCTTTTGCTATGCTTGACAATATTTTTCTTCCTGTTTTTTGCTCTCTTTGCCAGGTCACCCATCCCCGCATCATGGTCGTTGGTTTTGCTTTTTATTTTAGTAATGATGGTAATAATAATAATTATTGGTAAAATATTTTAATAAATTATATTAAGGTATGATTTTTCTAATTTGTTTAATTGCAATGTAGAATATACATAATTTAAAAATAAAAAACCTCAAAATTATTTAAAAAAAAAGTATCAAAGAAGGAGGGTAATTTTTTTTTTTTTTAACAAACCAACCCATACTTAAAATTGCATTGAAACGAAACGGATAATTTTTTTCAAAGATACCTTCCTCCAAAAGAGAAGTAATTTTTTGCGATAAAAAATGGAAGCAAACAAATCACGCTGATGAATACAATAAAAGCATAATTTCGGTACTTATAATTTTAAACAAACACTATGAATGTACTGATGGGACCCGATATTCTAAAGTGAAAAGTAGATAACCATAATTTCCATTTTATAAACCCTAAAGAAAAAATAGCAGAACCCATTAAAAGGAAAACTAAACAAAGAGTAGGGAAAAACTAGCCAAATGATCAAAATAAGGATAGACTTGAGTGCTTAATGTTTAAATAGACACTATGCATAAGATTGTATATATTCAATTCCTTTTCCTCAAGTTATTTTCCCTGGTTTACATTTCCTAACTTGCTATTTCTTTATGGAATTGATGCCATTTAAAATTAAGGGATCGAGACCAAGTTTGGTGGAGGCATAGTAGTGGGCGTGTCAATACATTTTTTGATTGGTAGAAAAAGGGAGGACAGACAACTTCAAAAGGAAAAAGAGAAAAAAAAAATCAACAAATAAAAAAGGATATCTATATAAATGACATATGTCGATGTTCTACATAATTTTAAATTAAAATATCAAATAATATGAAAAATAACGCACTGTTAGTTTGATAAGTTATTATGTTTGGGGGGTTGGAACTTTAAAAAATAATATGGGATGGAGTACTAAAACTTTTAAAGAGAAACTCTAGTGCAATTTGAGGATTTTGTTAGCTAATGATTTGTCAGTATTACTAAGTATTTTTGAGCTTGAACGTATGTCTTGGTAAATTTTCAGACAGCCAGACCTAACTCACCTAAACTTTTTATTATCAAAAAATAATTATGTCAATTAATTTAAGAAAGCTTTTTGAAAATGAAAGGGTAACCTGCAATTTTCATTATATAAATTTCCTATGACTTTGAATTTGGAGCCACGGAAATATTATTTTTCCGTTGCGCGTTGCCCACCTTCATATATATTTATTTTCAGATATGGCGGAAGTTTCGTGGTCATACATTCACATATAACTTTTGCTTATTATATTACACTTCACTATCCTTCGTTCTTTCCGGTCCTGGGAGATCTCTTCTTGCTTTATTCAATGCTTCCTTTTTCTTCTTGCTTTGCTCTGCGCTTCTGCGGTTTTAATTCAGCTCCGCGAGTCTGATAAGATTATCATGGAGCAACAAGCAGGATCTTCTTCCATCACTTACAAATGGACTTATGACGTCTTCATTAGTTTCCACGGCGAAGATACTCGCTTAGGTTTCATTGGTCATCTCCGCGAAGCTCTGCGTCAAAGAGGCATTCATGTCTTTAAAGATGATGAAGGAATCAGGACAGGAGAAGGAATCACAGCAGCACTTTTCAAAGCCATAGGAGAATCAAGAGTAGCAATCATAGTTTTCTCCAAAAAATATGCAAACTCGACCTTTTGCTTGGAAGAACTCTCAAAGATTCTGGAGTGCTTCAAGGAGGAAGGTCGGCTGATATATCCAGTCTTTTACTATGTGGATCCATCAGAGCTTCGACGTCCAAGAAGAAGCTATGCAAAAGCATTGGTGAGACTGGAGGAACGATTCAAAGACAATAAAGAGAAGGTGCAAAAATGGAGGTTGGCTTTGTCCCTAGCGGCTGAATTGAAAGGCTGTCATCTCAAACCCAAGTATCATCTCTCCCTCTTGCTTGTTATTTTATTTAGCTATTTGGGTATTATTTCAACATCTTATAATGGCCAAATACTTAGGCATGGTTAGTTACAATTAGACCTTAGATATAAAATATACATGAACTTTCCCGACGATATGCAGAGCAGCTAAATCGTCTATAACTACTTGATTAATCCTATTAATTTAAGTAATTATTTTATATGCATGCTTATAACAAAACTTATATATTTGCCATAATTACATAATAAATTTACTATTTTTCATTAATTGTGATTGAATTTAAAATTGTGCTATTTAAAAATTTCAAAACACTTGCAAATTTAAATTAGGTGAAGAATGAAACTATTTCTCATTGGAAGGAAAAGGGAAAACAGAACCAGCCTTTTTTTGCCCCCTCAAACTTGCGTATAACTTAAATTTTAATTTGACTAATAGTCAAATTCTTAGAAATTGGTCAGGATTGCCAATGAACAAGAGCACATTGCTGGGATTGTTAGTGAAGTCTCTAATAGGATTAATCGTAATAAGCCTTTATCTATTACAGATTATCCAGTTGGACTTGTGTCCCAAGCGAAGGAATTAATCTCATGTTTAAAACTTGAGTCTACTAAGGAAACTAAAATGGTTGGAATTTGGGGAGCTGGTGGAATAGGTAAATCAACCATTGCAAGAGCTGTATATAATTTGATTGGTGATCTTTTTGAAGGTGCATGTTTTCTTTCTAATGTAAGGAAAAGGTCTAAAAATATTGGCTTGTCACATCTGCAAGAGACACTACTCGATCAATTAGTCATGGAGAAGAATCTTAAATTGGGTGATATTCATGAAGGAATACCAATAATAAAATATAGGCTTAGCCAAAAGAAAATTCTTTTGATTCTTGATGATATTGATGAATTCGAACAGTTAAAAGCACTAGCTAAAAGCTGTGATTGGTTTGGTCTTGGAAGTAGAATTGTCATCACAACAAGGAATAAACAATTGTTAGTAAGTCATGGTATTGATAGTGAAAGTATCTATGATGTCAAGGAATTAAATTATGAAGAATCTCTTCAATTGCTAAATTGGCATGCCTTTAAAAATGAAAATGTGGATTCCAACTACTTGGAGGTTTGCAATCGTGCAATACATTATTCTTGTGGCTTTCCATTAGCTTTAGAAGTGATTGGTTCTAACTTATGTGGTAAAGGAGTCGATGAATGGAATGATGCATTGGATCAATTTAAAGCAATACCGTATAAAGGAGTTTTGGAAGCAGTTCAATTAAGCTATAATGCTTTAGAAGAATTTGAAAAAAAAAAAAATTCCTTGATTTGGTCTGTTTCTTCAATGGTAAGAAATTGGATGATGTTAAGCATATGTTGCTCTGTCTTCATGAAATCTAACCAGATTATGCTATTAAAGTGCTTATTGATAAATCCTCATAAAGATTAAAGGAGATTGTGTGATCATGCATGACTTGATAGAAGATATGGGTAAAGAGATTGTTCGTCATGAATCACAAGATGAACCTGGTGAACGTAGCAGGTTATGGTTCCATCGAGACATTCTTCAAGTCTTACAACATGACACAGTAAGACCATCAACATGCATTTTTCTTTCTAAACTTGAATAATTATAGATTCATATCCAATGTTTGATATTTATTGCGTGCTTTTCATTTTGAAAGGAAACTAATAAAGTTGAGGCTATAGTTCTTGACTTACCTCAAGGTAAAGAAGTGCAATGGAGTGGCAATGCTTTCATGAAGATGAAGAAACTCAAAATGCTTGTGATCAAGAATGCACGCTTTTCTAAAGGCCCCACATATCTCCCAAATAGTTTAAGGTGGTTGGAGTGGAAGTAGTATCCCTTTAGATTTTTACCACATGATTTTTGTCCGGTAGAACTTGTCTATCTTGACTTGTCTTACAGTTATGTTGAATTGCTCCAACCATTTTCTAAGGTAACTACAATTGATTATAACTATGTTTTTGTTTCCTTTTGCAATTTTAAAAAATAAATGTTTATTAATGCTCTGCAGACATTCGAGAGTTTAAGACACATGAATTTTAGAAGTTGTATATCCTTACAAGGAATACCAGACTTGTCAGGAGCTTCTAATTTAATAGAGTTGTGTCTTGATCATTGTCCAAACTTAATTAAAATTCATGATTCAGTTGGTTATCTGAATAAACTTAAAGAGTTGAGTGCCATGTGATGCCAAAACTTGAAGATTTTGCCACATGGCCTTAGCATGGCATCTCTTGAAAATCTCAACATGTTTGGATGTTCAAGTCTACAATATTTCCCGAAAATACTGGTGAAGATGACAAAGATGAGAATACTTGAATTGGATAGGACAGCCATTATAGAGTTTCCATCTTCAATTTGCAATCTCATTGGGCTTGAAATGTTAAACATGGAAGAGTGTCATCATCTTAGGCAACTACCAGCAAGCATTTTCATGTTGCCAAATCTTTCAACACTTTGCACAAATTTTTGTGAAGGGATGAGATATTTACAGATATGTGAAGATGGAGAAGAAGCAAGCATAGGCCCCAAGATATTGTCTTTAAAAATGGAATATTTTTATTTTTCAAATTGCAATTTGTCGGATGACTCTCTTGCTCTATGCCTTTCTTACTTCCCAAATTTGATACAATTAGACTTAAATTATGGTAAATTCACAACTCTTCCTGCATGCATGGAAGAATGTTACCATATGAAATATCTTGTCCTTGATAATTGCAAGCAGCTTCAACATATCTTGGGGATGCCGCCAAACCTAGACAAATTCAGCGCCTTATTTTGCACAAGGTTGACTGAGTCGTCAAAAAGCATAGTATTCAAACAGGTGTCTATTCCTGCCTTCACTTTAATTATGTTATTTTGTTACTTATATACATTATTTCTCAAATTTTTCTTAATGTATAATTGACAGGTAGTCAGTGACCTACAAGGCAATAGAAACTGTGCTTTTCCAGAAAAGAAGTTCCCAGCATTTCTAGACACAGTTGGCCATAATCCTTCTCTGTCCTTTTGGATTCATGAAGAGTTCCATGATGTAATTGTTATATGGATTCTTGTTAAAGATGTGAACTGTAACATTGACGTCTCCGTGTTCATAGATGGCATATCCAAAGATATTTCTCGATCTTCTTATCAACGGTTCTCATTATCAACAAACATTAGAGGCTGATCATATATACGGATATGATCTATACAGCTTTATTGGAAAGACTGAACTCTCCCAATCATTTAAGCAGAATGACTGGAATCATATGGAGATTTTCATCAAGAACAATACTTCCAAAGTGGAAATTGACGGAAAAATTTGTTTAGGAGCTAATGTATGCAAACAAGAAAAAAAGTTTGATAATATCAGATTCCTGACACCAGGTATTTAGTTCATCCTTATTTCTTTGTGCTTTATACCCATCGATTCTCTTATATATGTTCTGCTACTCATGGCTATTCCGAATTCAACGCTAGTATATACACTCTGCCACTATTTGTTTTCTTGGTTCATTTCCCTTGTACTTGCAAAATTTTTTAGCTATTTTAAATTGATGCTTTCTGTTGCGAAAAATTGATGTTCAAGTCAAGAAGTAGTACAGCAGGGAAAAAAAAAAACATGCAACTATTAAGTTGCAAGGCGTGGAATAGCTCTTCTCTAAAAACCTTTTTTTTTTACGTACAAAAAATGGAATAAAATAATAGTAAGATGCATGACGTGTTAGTTCCATGAATGTATGCACCTCGACTATAATATTTTGAAGCTTTGATATGATCATTGGCCTATTGCATCTATCCATTGCTGGTTGAATGTGTACCTTTATTGTTAAAATTAGCAGTAATTAATGGCTATAATAATATCATCTTCTTTCGCACAAGGATCAAGACATGATGTATTTCTAAGTTTTCAAGGCTACGCTTCTCGCTCTTTCACGGACAAGTTATATAATGCTCTGTATGAGAGCAAGATTAATGCTTTCAAAGATGTTGAGAGTTTCGGATGGGGAGAAGATATTTGCCCGACTGTGGTCAGAGCAATTGAGGAGTCAAGGATTTCAATTATTGTATTCTCTTCATACTATGCTGAGTCCAAAGCGTTTCTTGACACAGTTGCTATGATTATGGATTGTATGAAAACAAAGGGCAAATTGGCTTTCCCAATTTTCTACAATGTAGACTCTTCAGAAGTAAGACATAAATCACGTCATTTGAGCTTAGGAAGGGCCGGCAGGAATGGAAACACATTAAAGAATGTCATGGAAAAGTTGCAGGGGTGGAAGTTGGCTTTGTTTGAAGCAGCTCGCATGCCTAGTTGGAGCTTAGAAGAAGGGTATGTCTCCACTTCTTTCTTTCAAACCAAAAAAGAGTTTCTGTGTTGTTTGTTATATATATTTTCAACAAAAACATAGCTTCATAAATCACATTTTTAACTTGTTTTATTTAAGAAAGGAAAAGAAAATAATTGATTTCAAGCACTTAAGCTACATGTAAATTGTGTCTATTTTAGTTTTTGCGGACACACCATCCCATTGAATATATATGTCAGTATAAAAACACAGGTTGCCTTTAAGTGAAAGAAAAGGAATATTATATTCAAATTTTGACTTGTTTAATTTGCGCTTATTAATGAATACATTTGCAATTGAGTAGGTACAAGGAAGAATATGTTATCCCACGGATTATTGAAGTTGTTTCTCGTCACCTTCTTTCAGAACACTTAACAAAATCAATAAAGTCAATTGGGAACACTATGGGTCATCAAGGTATTTTTTTTTTTCCCATCGTCCTCTATCTTTCTGTTTTAACATTCAGATCCTTTAGTTTGACATGTCATAACATACCTTGACTTATTGCCCACTGGTGAAACATAAAAAAACCACAAGATAGAGAAGAGCTCGAAGTTGATACGTATTGAGATTTATATTAGTCAATAGTAAATTGTGGGCTGTTCAGCATTTAACATAAAAAAAAAACTCTGGTAATATTCATTTCTTGCTTTATGTCTCTTACAGTTTAACACATGATTAGCTGGCAAATATTGTAGTTTAAGGTTCTGTTGTATTGATAGCTGTTTTAAATTGCCGCAAGTCAAACAATAATACTCCTGCAAATAAAAAGATTATTTTGACTATTCACATTTTGAGGAAAAATCATAACGAGTTTATCTCAAAGCATTAAAAAAAAAAAAAAAAGCTAAACATATTCTAAGAGTAAATCGATCAGCAACAATAACATGCGACTGCAAAATAATTGTTCGTAAAAAAAAAGTGTGGAATCAATAGCTCTTCTCTGAACATCCCCTTTTTTTTTTGGTATAGAAAATATATTGACTGGTAATGATAAGCATTGACTAACTAGTATAATGTGCTACGAAATTTATTAGAAGAATAACATTGAAGGACCTCTGAAATAATTTAATATCAGACAAGGACTTGGAACAAGTACACATTAACAATTGACAAGTGAAAGTTCAAGTTTTAACAAGTATTTAATTTGTCTAAGTCTTATTTGATATTGAATCATTTTAGTGATCCTTCATTGATATTCTCCCAAATTTAATTTGATTCTCTAAAGCTGTGTGTGTGTGTGTGTGTGTCTAGAAATTACATGAATGTATTCCTAGTGTTAATTTGTTCATACTCTTCTTATATCTGGATTATAAAACTTGAAGCTTTGATATGATCATAGGCCTGTTGCATCTATATATCTTTTTTCTGGTTGATTGTATACTATTACTATTAAAATTGAAAATAGTGGCTACAATATAATATCATCTTCTTTGGCACAAGGACCGAGACTTGATGTGTTGATCCTGAGTTGTCAAGAAGCCTTCAGTGATTCCAACATTTTCGTGGACAATCTATATAATGCTTTGTATGAGAGCAACATTAATGCTTTCAAAGATGATGGGAGCTCTGGATGGAGGAAAGATTTGGGCCCAATTGCTCAAGATATTGAAGAGTCTAGGATTTCAATTATTGTATTTTCTGAATCCTATGCATATTCTGTATGTTGTCTTGACGCACTTGCTATGATCATTGATTGTATAAAAACAAAGGGCAAATTGGTTTTCCCAATCTTCTACAATGTAGACGCTTCAACAGTAAGACAACAAACAGAAAGTTTCGAATCAGCAATGCATGAGCACGAAAACAGATTAAAGGATAACACGGAAAAGGTGGAGAAGTGGAAGTTGGCTTTGTATGGAGCAGCTCACATGCTTGGTTGGAGCTTGGAAAAAGGGTACGTCATCGCTACTTCTTTCTTTGAATTCAGAACAATGATCGTAGGTGTATGTCAAACTTGCTTGAATGACTTAATTCAAAAAGCACATTTTTCCCATCTTGAATATTTAAAATATGTACAAGTGTATCAATAAGATTATAAAACTCAGGAAAAATTCATTGGAAAGGTATGAATTCCTAGAGTTTAACAATAAACCCCTTAACTTATTTAATGATCTTGGAAAAAAAACAAAACAAAAAGAAAACGAAAAGAAAAAGAGGAATAAATGACTTTAAGCATTTTAAGTTAACTTGGATGTAAATTGAGTTGTTTTATTAGCTTTTTGTAGACAGACCTTCCTACCAAATGAAAAGGAATATTGTATTAACTTTTGACTTGTTTATTTTGTGCTGATTTTGATCTTGTAATTGAGCAGGGAAGAAATTGATGTTATCCCACGCATTGTTGAAGAAGTTGCTTGTCATCTTCGTTTTGAACACCTAACAAAATCTGAAGAGTCAACTGATGACATCATTATGCGTTATCCAGGTAATTGTCCCCATCTTCATTTTTGTGTTATCATGAGAAGTTCAATTGCGAAATGAAGACGTGATAGGATGGGATTAAAGTGGGGAGAGAAAAGGTCACTTGGGTAAAAAAAGAAAAAAAGAAATGAAATTCATGACAGAGCATCATAGAAGAGAGAAGGTTGGCAATTAAAGACAAGGGGCATACTTTTTTAGGAAAAAAATATTACTATATTTTAAATTAAAAATAAATAATGACACGCGGAATTATATTTAAATGAGTTTCATTTATATTCTTTTCCATACTAAAACATACCTTGATTTAATGTGGCCGACTGGTGAAATGTAGAACAACAACAAGATATGGAAGAACTTGAAGATGACCCTTGTCGGGATTCAAGTTCAATGAAATCTATAGAGTTGACAGAGAGCATCGTGAGTCAACAAGGTAGTCTTTTGGTCCTTTCCTCTTTTCTTTGTGCATTGCCCTTTGATATTTTAATGTCATTTCTTATTCTGGGCTTCCTCTAGCTAATTGAATTTTTATCAGTTTAGCAATACGGGTTAAATCAATGTCCATTTAAGTTGTGCTTAATTATGTCCATTCTCAAAGAATTATGGATTCGATATGAATGATTTGGATACTTGTTTGTTTTAGTTTTCTTTACTAAATATTATATCGGGACTTAGTGGGAGCACTACTTACAACAGAGTTTGGTCTCCACTCCCATCCTTATGTGTACAACCTATAAATAGACTGAGAAAGTGGATATCTATATTTTTATAAGTAATATGGTATATGATTTTTTTTATATCAACAGTTGGTATCAAAGCTATATACACGCACACACGCATAGCTGGCTAAAGGACAAGAACAGATTTCATTTTATTAATAAAACTATTCATATGATGTGTTCATATTCTTTGATCAAGAATCTCTTTTGGTTTACTTATATGTATAGGGGAGCAACCACATCATGGTAAGGGTATTTCTAAATATGGTCAATTGCAAGGCAAGAACAAAGGCAAGTTCCATAAGAACGGTTTCAAGAAAGGTATAACTTCTTGGTTTGGTATTAAATCATGGATGGAGAAGAAAAAGAATACAGGTAAAGCTAATGCTTGTGTTTGTTTTGAATGATCTTCTCTTTTGGTTTATGTTTCTCTCCAAATTCTTGTTCATGTTTCTAAAATTCATTGCAGATGTTCTCTATGAAACGCAAGCCAAGCCAAATCAACATGATGAAAGAAGAGTGCAAGCGGGGAAATAATCATAGTTTGGATCTAATCACTTTGTTGTTTGAACAGTCGTTTTAAATCATTAGAATGTGCAATTTTTGTTGAAACAAATTAGATTTCCATTCAAATATTTGTAATTTACAATGTTCAAAGTACAGGAACCGAAAGGTCTCTGACCGAAGAGAAACTTTCAACGCTATGTATAAAATGCTTGACCAGAGAAAGTGGTGAGCTTTTGGAAATTACATATTCGTACCAATATTTGTGGTCATCATATGTGGCAAAAGGGTTTTCATTAATTATATCCATAATCATCCTGTGATGTTAGTAATTAGTAAATCTTCAGAGCATAAGTTTTTTTTTTTGGTAGCTCAAATTTAAGAATGAGATTTTTTATCAAAAAATAAATTAAAAATGAGATGTAAGAGACATTGAGTGGGATCGGACGACCAAAAACCAAATGCTAAAAATTCTTGCAAAAAAAAAAAAAACCAAATACTGTCTACCGAAGAAAAAACAAATACTACAAATCACTTCTTTCTGTTCTTATTGTATGATACTTTTTAGAAAAATTTCTTGATTTTTAATATAAATGAAATAGAGGATTATTAATTAATATTTTTCAATTTTACCCCTACTTAGAAAATTGTTAAAAGGTTATAATTTAGTGTTTCTATATGGTTCCTTGAATATTCATTTTTAACTTTAAGACAGATTTAATAAGTTAATCATTTTTTCTTGATTTCAGAAAGTCTTTTATAATAGGGACAGTAAAAAAATATTTTATAAAATAAAGAAAGATAAAAGAAAGCAAAGAGTGATTTAAAAGTACTAACGTGCATTAGGTATCAAAAATACATATTTTATAATAAAGTTAAAGGTCAATTAAGTAATAATAAAGTAGAGAAATAATAAGTATCAAATATAAACTATTGTTAAAGTTTTTTTTTTTAAAAATGCTTTAATGAGAAAGTTAAAGTTAAACCTATTTTCTAATTCCCACTCCCTCTGTTTATATTTTCTCCTCGCTGTCATAATTATGCATTAGTCTGGTGTGATAGTTTTGTGCAAGTAGTTTTCAATCATATAACATGAGCATAAGGTTCCAATGAGAGGCTATTTCAAAAACTTCGACCATTAAGTGAAAGAGCCCTCTAGACTCTATTCTTACAAGTCATTTTTTTAATATGAGGCTCTTTAAGGTAGACATCGACCTGATTAAAAAAAAAAAATCAATGTTGCCATGCTTAGTGATGGTTTTTTTTTTTTTTTTAATATTTTCCGCTTCTTTCCGGGTCACCTACCACGCCGCCACCACCAGTATGGTGGTTGGTTTTGCTTTAATTTTAATAATAATAATAATAAGGGTAAAATAGTAAATTAATTAATTTCTCGATTATAGGTTCAAAAGCATCTTAGATCCAAACTCATTTTTTGTATTACATTATTTTTAACTTGTAAAAACAGTATAATCTAATATTTATTATTAATAAAAATTAATTTTTATCGTTAATTAATCAAAAATAATAGAAAATGATTTCAAAAATTTCAAAAAAAGACCAATAAATTTTTTTGATCATTTTATTTAATTTTTGGATCCTTAACTGTAATTTTTAGGTCATTTACTATAATTTTTTTGATCAACGATTAATATTAACTTTTTTTAATTGCAAGAGTCAAATTGTATCAAAAATATTATACTAAGTTTAGGATCACATACACTTTTGAATGTGTAATTTAAAAGTTAATTTCTCTTTTACCATAATACTAATAATAACCACTAGTATATTATTTTCGTTTTGGCTATTGGTTGATTTTTCTTCTATTATTGAATTTGTTTCCTTGCAATTTTAAAAATTGCAGTACTTTGCCGGAACATCTCATGCTTTGGCTTGCAAAGTGGAGGTAATAAATATAAAGACGCAGCGTTGTTTAATTATCCTTCACGAATCACGAGATTATTTAATCTTTGATAGTCCTCGCTGTTAAAAACTGAATAAAATAAAATTAACACCACTGCCCCAAAAAAAATTAAATATCACAAAACTCAAGCGTCAATACAGGGGTACAGAGGTATTCTTTTTTAGGCTTAAGCATGCTTTTGGTTTCAAATATACTTTCAAGAGTTAAGGACCCGTGAGCACCTTATATTTAATGCTGTGGTAATATGCCCCTAAACAATTTGTTTTAGCAGCAAAATTACTCTTCCGTTAGAGATTCCTCATTTTTTTGGTTATCTACTAATATGAAATAGTTGTAAAGCCTGACAGCAAAACGTTTTAACCCATTTTATTGTAAGAAAAATTCCAACTCAACTTGTTTTTTTTTTTTCAATGAAAGGAAAAAAAAAGAAAGAAAGAAAAGAGCTGCATTTATATGTTTGCATTAGGAAATTCTCTATCAGCATTTAAGATTGTTTTGTCATCATTTTTCGTTAACACGATTAATAGTATTAGAAATTGAGAAGCTTTATATTTTGAAAATTAAAGTATTTAAAAGAAACTAAATAAAATGAAGAGACTGAAAGAAAACTTCGGACATGGGGTAAGATGGTAAGATTTATATGGTCTGATTGGGTTCTTGAAACATTACTCTCCAAGTCTCGCTGGTCTTTAAAACATAGAAGCCCAAAGAACATATGGGTAGGAGAGAGATATGGCGGAAGCTTTGTGTTGTTGTATATTAACATGTCCTTCACCATTGAGTTGCTCTTTAATATCCTTCGTTCTCTCCGGTCCTGTCAGATCTCTTCTTGGTTTATTCAACGCTTCCGCCATTTTTGAGCTCTAGCTAAGTCTGCTAAGATTAGCTCTGTCAAAGGTCCCTATCATTCGCACAGCTTTGTGGGATATTTCTTTCGAGTCCAGTGGGATTTCTTCTTGCTTCGCTCTACTTACGCTTCTGTTATATGTTAATTCAGCTGTAAGACTCAAATAAGATTAGCCGCGAACCACGCAGCAATCATGGCACACCGAGCAGGATCTTCTTCCATCACTTACAAATGGACTTGCGACGTTTTCCTTAATTTCCATGGTGAAGATACTCGCTTGGGTTTCATTGGCTATCTCCGCGAAGCCCTGCACCAACGTGGAATTCATGCCTTTATCGATGATGAAGGCATCTAAACTGGGAAGAAATCACACGTGCACTTTTGCTTGAAAGAACTTGCAAAGATTCTAGAGTGTTTCAAGGAGGAAGGCCGGCTGATATATCCAGTGTTTTATTATGTTGATCCATCGGAGCTTCGATGTCCGAGAGGAAGCTATGCAGAAGCATTGCCAAAACTGGAAGAACGATTCAAAGACAACAAGGATCAGAAGGTGGAAAAATGAAGGTTGACTTTGTCCCAAGCAGCTAACTTGAAAGGCTGTCATCTCAAACCCAAATATATTTCTCTCTCTCATTTTCTTGTTTGCTTTTTCAAACCTTTTGGATGTTATGTTAATTAAGAAATGCATTTAACAGGATGAAAGAATTATGCATGCTTAATTACTGTATTACTATCATTATATCCAAGATGATAATTGATAACGAAGACTTGGCCGAGATTGGTTACATTATTTTGTGTTTACAATATACATTGTTGCGTCTCAAAAATAGAGGGTGAATAATATAAGATGTGAATCACTGCACATCCCTTAAACCTTGAATCGGATAATTTTTCCATGAGTAAGACACAATTACATTTTAGTTTGAATTAGAACATGCATAAACATTTTTTGTATTAATAAAATACTTTAATATTTTTGTAAAAATTTCGACAAAATATCCTCCATAAATAAGATCTCCCAAAAATTTTACAATATAATATTTCAATTAAAAATATCAAGTCAATTAAGAGCAAAGCTCTTTTCAGCCAGTAATAACAACATGAACAACTTAGCTACAGACTATGTGGAGCACCAAACAGTAAGTTTATAAAATAAAATTTTAAAATTAAAACTTTATATCAAGAGAAAGTTTAATCGTTAACTCCTCTACTTCTAATCAATCATAAACTCATCAATGTTCAGTGACTAGTTTAGCGTCAATTACATTATCTGAGACTAAAATTATTTTCAGTGAATAACGTCCCATTAATAAATAATTAAACATGAATAAAATGAATGTTAAAAACAATTATGTAAATTAAAACCACAACGATCTCCATAAAGATTTAAATAAATTCGGAATAAAAGGATTATATATAACTTTAAATAAAATCTTGAACCATTAAATTTTCATATCAAATATTGTTATCACTTAATTTTAAGGAAGCAAATAAATGAAATGAGTAATTATAAATAGATTACTAATTAAAAACCAATGAGATATAAAAATCATTAAATAATCAAATTCATATTTATAGGGACTTGTCAGAACAATTAACAAATGTGGACATACAATCCAAGCGGATAAATAACTAGACACGACTGAAGCCACAAAACAGACGTGGACATACAATCCATGAGGGCAAATAACTAAATGTGGTCGAACCTAGGAAACAGATACAAGCATAAGACCCATGAATAACAGATGTGAGAACAGAACTCACGAAAATAAAATTACCTTATAATTGACCATAGTACGTCAAGGACTAACGAAACTGTCGTTAGCAATCGGTATTCTGTATATAATCCCTTCGAAAATTAATTTTTTAAACATGCGAGAAAATCATCACTTTTCAAAATAAAATTTCTCTTCCAAATATCAAACTCGCATGAAATACATAAAAATATTAATTTATTTTAATATGAAAATTCATAACTAATATTTCATAAATTGTTCACCAATATTGACTTTATCAAATAAAGGACTACTAGAATTTGTAAAAGTATTTTTGTCAGTCTGAAAAGTATAAGCCATGACTCCAAGAAGCAAAGCAATTTAATTAACAAAAGTAACTAAAACAAGAGAAATATACAAATATCTGTAAATTATTAAAAATAATATTTTGATAAAGAAAACTTTCTAATATATAAATTGATTGAGATGTTATCCACTTACCTAATAAGCCTTCCCAACTTTTATAACTCATTCTTTATCACTTTTATCAAGATCCTCTTCCTCTAGACATCCTGTATGAATATATTTTTATACATATGAAAAATTAAATCAATTAAGACAAACCCCAACTAACTACAACAGTAGAATTTTTTTTAAAAAAAAAAAACACCAAAATCCATGTCTTAAAAGCTTCTCTAATATCATGGTTGCCTCATATATATACTCCCCTTATCTAACATATTGAGTATACTTTTATAACATACACATCCAAAAATTAAATCACATGACAATACTATGATTTATAAATTAACAACCATAAAACTCTTAATAATCCAATTAATCTCTTAATAATTTAAATAAATTTCTTCGCAACATTCGATTTAACTTCACAAATGAACAACACTCAAATCAATTCATATTTCTTGCAAGATCCAATAAGGTTATAAAAAAATACCTATTCATATATCTCCTTTTGAAATTTTCAAATTAAATTCACAAGATAATAGCATTCCAACCAATTATAACTTTCAATAAATTTAATAAAATTTTAATAATTGCAATTTTAAGCAAAACTCTCCTAATAAATATTTTATCAAACACTTTATGAGCACCAATTCCTTAAACAAATACTAACCTCCTCCTCTTTAATTTAACTTCCAAAAATTTTTATAATATCAATATTATAACCAATAAACAAATCAAATTTAATTAAAACTTCAATCCACACTATCATCCTCTTCCCCCTGATACCTAAAGTTTCAATTTAGTGAATTTTTCTTCCTCGCACATGTACACACAGAGCCCACAAAAGCATCAAAATCTCATTCATTACAACATAAACCCATAAAGGCATGAAGACAACTAAGAGGAAAGGATCTGGAATTCCTACCTCAGATCGGTGAAGCTAGAAACAGAGGAGAAGACGGAATTCTCGCAGCTCAACAGGGAAGGAAGAAGATGGTGGTATCTAGCCTTTAAATCTCCTAATACGAACCTCCTATGGCACCAAATCAGCTCCTCGCATCATTACCACACACGAACAAAAAGAATGGAGGGAGAAGATTGTTCGGCTGCGAGAAGCAGAACAAAAAGGAGCTTCAGGAATGGCAGAGCTGCGCCGGCAGACTCACAGCAACTCGGCTCTCACATCGGCGACAGCAAGGAACGAAGGGAAGGAAGGAATCGAAACTTGTAGAAGAAACAAAGACAGAGATCGCACCTGAGGTTTCCAGATTTTTCTCTCCCTCCCTCAGATGCCGAAACGTGATTAAACAAGGAGAAAGAAGAGAGAAAAAAAATATCCGATAGAAAGGTGACATTTTGGTAATTTCAGAGGCTGAAAATAATTAAAAAAAAATTCTCCCCATTTGCTTCAACAGATTTAAACTCTGGACCCAATGGGTACTTACGTGCTCACTTTCACTATGCCGACATGACAATTGTTTCAAAAACAATATAACTATAATTAAAAGACAATTATATATATATATATATATATATATATTTGTAAAATTCCTGAGGTATTACATACGAAGCCCTAGCAAAATGTGCCTTTTCCGATGATAGAAGCCGTAATTGCGCATGTCCCATGTACTTCCCCCAATATGCAAAGGTGCTCTTCAATTAATTAAAATCTATTAATTTACGTAATTATTTTGATAGTCATATACATAACAATACAATTACATATATGTACATTTATTACTTTTCAGCTAAAATTAAAAATTTTTAATAATTGGGTTTGGGTTTGAAATTATAGTATTTAGGGCTTTTAATAATTTAATTTGCCTATTGTTTAATCATTGAAATGAGGAACGAAACTTTTTTCTATTAGTAGGAAATGGGAAGCCAACAGAGTTTTTATGACTAAAAGTGGAGTATAATCATTTCTTGGATGACTAAAAGTGACTTTTTTATGAAGTGGTCAGGATTGCGAAAGAACAAGATGTATTACAGAGATCATTAGGGAAGTCTCTAATAGGATTAATCATGATCCCTTACACATTACTCGTTATCCAGTCGGATTTGTGCCTCGCGTGAAAGTAGTGACCTCACTTTTAGAGCTTTTTTCCGTTACGGAAACTAAAATGGTAGAGATTTGGGAGGTTGGTGGAATAGGTAAACCAACAATTACAAGAGCTTTGTATAATTTAATAGCTGATTATTTTGAAGGCTTTTGCTTTCTTTCTAATGTAAGAAAAGAGTCCCAGATGCCAAATGGTTTGCACATCTTCAAGAGACATTATTCTGTAAATTAGTCATGGAGAAAAATCTTAAACTGGGTGATTTTCATTAAGGAATACTAATAATAAAATGTACACTTAGTCAGAAGAAAGTTTTCTTGATTCTTGATGATGTTGATGAATTAGTACAATTAGAAGCACTAACTGAAAATTGTAATTGGTTTGGTTTGGGAAGTAAAATTGTCATCACGACAAGGAATAAGCAATTATTAGTAAGCTATGCTCATGATAAAAACATTTATAATGTTAGGGAATTAAATGTAGAGAAATCTCTTCAATTTCTTAGCTGGCATGCCTTTAAAAAGGAGAATGTAGAGTCTGAATTCGTTGAGGTTTCCAATTGTGCAATACGTTATTCCTGTGGCTTTCCATTAGCTTTAGAAGTTATTGGTTCTAATTTATGCGGTAAAAGAGTTTATCAATGGAGTTTTGGCTTGGATCAATTTAAAGCAATACCTCATGAAAGAGTTTTGGAAGTCATCCAATTAAGCTATTGTAATGACAAAAAAAGAAAATCTTTCAATTAATATTTTATTTAAATTAATTTTATGGCAAGTGAAGGGTAGTAATTTATTAAAATTTATGCTACTAAATTTTCTTGAAGGTTCAGAGTTTGGATTTTATGAAGCAAAAGTTTGATTTTTTTATTTTCAATTAAAAAAATTTTGTACCTTTTCTTGTAATCTTTTTTTGTATTCTTTCTTGTAATTTTCCATTTTTCTTTAGATCAGATTTTATCCCCCTCTCCGCAAAAAGAAAACAGAGAATCTGCGTTTCTTTTTTCTCCTTCACCAACAGTGTGCTCCTCCTCTCTTCACTGTCAGATTTTTCTCCTCACAGTCAGACTTCTCTCCTCCCGTCAGACTTCTCCTGTTCTCGCCGAAGCTGTGCCGCCGTTGGGAGTGGTGGAAGCTGGATGATTTCTCCTCTCTTCCTTGGTTGCTATCATGCGAGTTCCTCTTCCGTGTATTGCACCGTCAGGTTCTTCTTCTTCCTTGATCTAATGCTACCTGTTCTTCCTTCTCAGTATTCGTCCGTCACTGCTGGAGGCCAAGTTCTCATTTCTTCCTTTCTTTTCTCTCCTTGATGCCGTCGACCACAGCTGGTATCTTCTCCCTCCTTACTCTGCGACGACGCTGTTCTGTGTATGAGGGGGAGACTCCAAATCCTTCAATCCATGTTCTTCTTTGCTCTTTGGTGAGTTTAAGCTTTGTTTTCTCTCCCTTGCGTTGATTTTGTGTGATTTCTGTGATGTGGGTAATTGCTGGACATTCGATTTCTGTTCTTCTAAATTAGTTGTTGTGGGTGCAAAGGAGATATTATTCTTCAAACAAGCTTAAATTGAAAATTTGGAAACCTACTCTAGTTAAGAAATGATTCCTTGAGTATTTTGGTCTCTATAGGAAGGAAATTGATTTAGATGTTATTCTTTTTTAGGAATTAAATTGATTTTGATAAAGTACTGACTCTGGGAAGTATATTAAATTTAAATGATGTTGATTAAAATTCTTTAGAAAAGAAGTTTAAAGAGAAAGATGATTATTGTATGTCTTGATTTTGAATGCCCACAAGGCATTTGATGAAATGTTTGATAAGTGAATGTTAGTCTTTGATAACAAGTGAGTGTGATGAAGATATTATTGTTGGGTATATTGTTGTAGTAGATAATTGTCTCTATAACGCAAGGATGGAAATGAAATTAGGAGATTTAGTACTTGGTGGATACTACAAAAACAAAGTTAGCTTGTTCTTATGTTAATTCCTATGTGCATATAAAGTGATTGATGAAATGTTTGAGGAATGAAGTTTATAGAATTTGGATATACATGAATGGTAATGTTGATGTTGAGATTTTCTTTCCCAATTCTTTAAATTTGTTTGGGTTGAAAATTTTGATTTATAAAATGCATAATAGGAATAACAATAATGTCCCTTGGAACAATAGGAAATTAAGGCACGAGTAATATTACAAAAGTGACTAATTAGGAATAAGGTATATGTTTTGGAATATCTCAGGTAAGTGAATAGCATCCCATTTAATTTATTATTAATAGTCTTTTATCAAAATGTTATCTTTTAATGTAGATCATTTTCAATTTCTATGGTAAATATCGGATAAGTTGTTAATTAAATTATTTATCATGTGAAAATATAAAATTGTGGCAAAGAATAATTAAGTATGGCATGTACATGTATTTTCCCTAATGAGTTATATTTTCAAAATTTATGAAATTATTTGGGATTAGCTTTGGAAAATTTTGGTTACCAAATAAATATAAGAATGAACATTATTTATAAAATTTTATTTTAATGAGTATTGAATTGACGTTTGAAATGATTCATGCGAGTCCGATACTAAGAATGCAAATTTTATTTTAGAAATGACTAATTTCCTTGCATGTTTGAAAGGTGATCTTGAGAGGACTTTATATAGAACATTGGTTGCTAATGGTAGCTCCATTAGCCCTTGATGAGCATTGGTCAATGACTAGCTAGTTTGATTTTCATGGGCTCTGCTCTCATATTTGATATTCGTGAGTTTCATATCCACGTCTATTTCGTGGCTTCAACTATGTTTGGTTAGTTACCTTCGTGGACTGTGTGTTCACGTCTGTTTCATGGTTTTGACCATGTTTGGCTATTTACCTTCGTGGACTGTGTGCTCATGTTTGTTTCCTGTTCTATTAAGTCCTCAAAATTTTAAATTTTTAATCAACTTATGTATTTAAATGTTTAATTAGTAGTTTCAACTAGTAAGTGTACTACATAAATTTTTCCTTGACTTGACTTGTTTCTTCAATGGTAAGAACTTGGATGATGTTAGGGGCATGTTGTTATGCCTTCATGAAATTCAATTGGAATATGCTATCAAAATGCTTATTAATAAATCTCCCATAAAGATTGAAGGAGATTGTGTGATAATGTATAACTTGATAGAAGATATGGGTAAGGAGATTGTTTGTAGAGAATCACAAGATAAGCTTGGTAAACGTAGCAGGCTATGGTTCTATCGAGACATTCTTCAAGTCTTACAACATGACACAATAAGATCACCAATATTCATTATCTTTTTCTTTAAAATATCATTATGTTTATTGTTTGGTACATATCTAAGGTTCAAAATTCATTATATGCTTTTCATTCCTACAGGGAACTAATAAAGTTGATGTTACGCCCCAAAAATTAGACGTGATCGGCATGGAATATATACACAAATATGCATTCCTTAAGCTTTGATCAAGGAAACTTTAATCTAGTATTTTAATTCATTTGAAATATGATGAAAGATAATTGCGACATTTTTATATAAACAAAAGATTCATAAAATTTTGTAAAAATTTTGCCAAAATCTCCACTCTAAATAGGACCTTTTGAAGTCTCAACAACAATAATATACAGTCCAAATTAGAAATGCGGAGCTTTGCTCCTTTGCAATGAACAAACAAATATATTACAAATCAGAATCCTATCTATAGTCAACGTGGAGCATACCTAATTAGAATTTCAAAATATAACAACTAATTAATGATTTACAGCAGAAGAAACATATACTCGAAATGTCATCTCCTCAATTCAACAAGGATTCACTCATAGATTAGTAGAAGGTAGATCATCAATTATATTATCTGAGATCAAAAATATTTTCAGTGAATAATGTCCCAACAATAAATAATTGAACATAAATAAAAGGAAAGTTTGAAATAATTATGTAAGTTAAAGAGATCAAGATTCTCATAAAAATTTAGTAAACTTCAAAATAAAATAGCTCTATATAACTTTAAAAAATTTTTTTGAACCATTAAATTATCATATTAAATATTATTGTGACTTGATTTCAAGAAAGCAAATGAACAAAATAAATAATTATAAGTAAATTACTAAATAAAAAAATAATGAGATGTAAAATCACCAAATAATCTAACTTATAATTATAGAGACCTTTTAGAACAATTAACAAATGTAGACATACAGTCCATGAGGGTAAATAACCAAACCTGACTTATGCCACTAAGA